AGTGGCAGATAGAATAATGATTGAATACACGGAGGAGTGCATTTTATCTGAAATATATATCTACCTCAATTTCAACAACGGCTGGATATGTGCATCTCTACTGAGTGGCGAGTAAGACATATACTATATTCTATATAAAAAATAGCGGGAAAAAAATTATTATTTGATTAAACTTTAACATCTTTTTTATATGAAATCGAAGGAAAAAAGTTTAAATTACAGGAAATGGAAGATGAGTTATTCAATCAAGCTTAAAAATTCTCGAGTCTATGAAGGTGGATGCTACTCATTAAATTTCAAAGCATGATCCCGGCCCATAGGAATCATGGGGTCCAATCTAATATTATGTCTAGTGTCGGTTTTTTGCTCAATAGGAAGTAGATTGATTCGTCAGATATAAACGGGCATTTCTTTGCATTGAGAAACTGCAAATTAGAACAATGATGTGCAATTTCATATATCGTTTTATCGGTGATATAATTATATTGAAAACTAAAATTCTGAATGTTTGGACTATATCACACACAGCATCATCTATAATCTTATAACAAGAAATGAGAACGATATTTTGCAGGTTTCGATTTAACTGTGCAATTTTTTTGATCGATTTGTTGGTAATCCTTTCACAACCTTCGAGAAAATAATTTCGCATATTTGAACAGCAAGTTGCAATAGCACATATGGCTTCATCTGTAATTGTTTCATTGTGAGTTAGGTCCAGGTGCCGAAGTTTTACACATGAGCCCGCAATAGCACAAATTGATACATCAGTGATACCTCCATGGGAAGAGAGGTCTAAATATACTAGATTGGGACAAAGTTGTGCTATTCCGAACACAGACGCATTGGTAATCTTGGTATCACTATACATAGAAGAAAGACTTAAATTTGGACAGGAACGTGTTATTTCACTTATGCATCTATTGGTGAGATTTACATGAATCAAGACTTAGATGTAGTAGCTTCGGATAAAATTTTGCAATTTCTATAATTGGTATATTAGTAAAACCATAACTTCGATCAAGAATAAGAAAGCGTATATCTGGACATGAATGTAGAATTGCACTGATTAACGCATCTGAGATTTTTAAACCTTCCAATCTGAGATATACCGTCTTTGAGCAATAGAGTGGCTTTATTTCTCCACATATAACTCTTTTAATCGTAAAGAAAAAGCCCGAGATATGTTTTTACCATTCTGGTTTTGCTGATAATCTTCTATGAAAAATTCAATGCGTCTCCATAGAATTGGACCACCGCAGTGATACCGAAGGTGATTGACGAACAAAGCAGGATAGAGCGCTTACCCTTGTCTAAGAAACTGAATATGTTTTCGAGCAACTCCGGAAGAATGAAAGAATGGGTCATGTTTAGTTCTTTTATAAGCATTAGAAAACTTGAAATGGTATATCCTTAGTAGAGTTAGTACAAAGGGTTAAAATTTTAATACTTCTCTGAAATCTTACTCTATTCATTAGAAAGACTTGATGGCGAAGCCGTACGCTCAAAGGATCATCACTTGCCTTGGTAAAATCAAAGACTATAAATTCCCGATTCCGTAAATGCTTATCAATGATCTTGGATGCTTTTTTGGGGTTATCAGTATATTGGCGTACGATTCTACATATATCTTCTCTAGATCCCGAGCCTTGGAATAGATTCTCATCCATGGAGGTATATCACGACACGACACATTATCTAAATAGTAAGAGTATATTCCAAATTTTGATAACTAGTATAGTCTCTAACCAATCAAAACCGGCATCCACAAGCTATTAAGTATAGCATGCTTGGATCAATCATACAGATTATCAATATCATTCATCTCTGTTTCCCACGTTTATTTTTTTTTTTTTTCCCAAGTTGATTTTTATATATACTATTCTTTATCACAAATTCAGATAAGCCTTTTTAGCAAATTTGTACCACAAACATTCATCAGTTGATTGAATTGTAACCTTTTGTGTAATTAATTAAGTATATTTTTGATAACGATAAATAAAAATTTTGCTAAGCAAATAATGAGCCATAACATCGGCAATACAGATGTGAGTCATCGTTAAGTTAGAAATGTTATAAATACACACGCCATCAGTTGGAATTAATTGGTGTTACAACCTTTCAAAAAATTAATTATGATTTATACTCAACCAAGTCTTGATACTGTAGTTAGGTTTAACGAATTACCCAATCTTTTTGATGCTAACGAAGCAAAAAACAAACATGTTACTGAAGAAACGTTTGATATATTAGGGCAACTCTTCATTGATTTTCACGTTCAAAATATTTTTGGCCTTACTCTTTTGCATAACCACTTTTTACTTGAAGAAGGTGAAATTTTACTTCAAACCGGTTCATTGTTTGATTCTGAACAAAAAATCGTCAGCCAACCAGTAAAGATCGATAAACTGGCTTCATCGGTTCAAGGATCCAATTGGAGAATTACCTCAAATAATTCTTATGTTCCTTACGAATTTCAGCCTGAAAACGAAGATTTGGTAACCATTAACTATTATTATTGTGTAAATCCGTAAAATCTTTAGTTTCTAATGTGCTTATTATATCTAAAGAAAATAGACTTCTCTTCTCCCGAGATTCAATCGTTCCTTAAAGAATTATCACAAAAGTTAAATGAACTTGATTTAACACATATCTTCGGAATATGCACTGTTAATGAAGAAGATTCTATGGAACTTGGATTTGAATATACTGAAGAAAGAAAAAATATTACAATTCCTCTTAGCAATTTGGATAAACTTGATAACTCGATTGAAGCAGTTTGGAGCTTTGAGCCTGATCTTAACAATAAGGGGGAGAAAATCAAAACCGTTAAGCGGATATGCAATCACAATTGATGGATAAGTGTATTTTTAGAATAGAATTTATTCTTATATCAGAGCATGTGGTTGAGGGACCATGAACTTATATTCCGAGTTTGACTCTGTAAAATACAAAATAAAGTTTCTTTTATAATACATATCATGAAATTCAATAAAGTATATTCAGATTTGATCCATCAATTTTTCTGTATATTGCATATATTTCGAAGCATTATTTCAGCAAAAAATACATAAAAAATTTTGTATTTGAATTATATTATTATTGGGTAGTCAAAAAGCTTTGGGATACGTAGATCGAACTAACTGGAATGGCATTTTTTTTATATGAAATCGAAGAAAAAAATTCTCGTTTATAATACAATCTAATATCTTTATTACGCTAACTTTGCTAATTTCCTTTTCCGGGTTTAGAGGGTTCATCCAACCGATTCTAATGGACATAGGATCAGAAATTGGCACAGTGGTATCAAAGACAATGAATTCAAATATTTATTGATGACTTTAGAAGCTTTACGTGGATCTTCCTCTATGTATTGTCTTATAATTCTTGCAATATCTTCTATGGACCCCCCGCCGTTGAATAGCGCAAGGTGAGTTATATCTTCACGAATAATTTTTGGCACCTGAGTAAATTTATGCGAAATATATATTGCGGAAATATTGCTATGGCAACCTCTGGTAAAAAATGGGATGATACGATTTTAATTGATTGGGGTTCAGTACACAAATCCTCAAAAATTATAAATGTCCGTCTTTTTGGATTTTTAAATTGTTTCAGATCTGGGATTTTATCAGGGGTAATTGCAGTAAATGTAACGTCCTCAGTACGGTTTGGAACGAACTGCTATTTTCTTATAGAAATTTCGAAGTAATCGGTATTTGGGTTCATTGGGATGGTGCCCTACTAATACAATATCATTGCAACGTATATGACGTTCGCCAATTTTCTCTGATTCTTCTTTGAGATCATAGTATTATCTTCGGAAAAGAGATTTAACATCAAAGTGCTTTTACCAGTATTTGATCTTCCAAAAACCCCATATAGAAAGGCCACTTTGGAGCGTCTTCATCGTCAAAGTTTTTTTGGTGGTTTAACTTCATCAATATGATATATATAATAGTACTTCATTCTGACATAATTTCCGAGATAAAATATTAGTCGCAATTCTGAATACACTACCTGGACAAAATGCTAGCACACGTTTAAAAGTTAATAGCACGAAAACGTACGTAATAATAATTAAATAAAAATCGCCATTTCGTAGCTTAGGTTCACCAAATTATATATGCAAAGTTTCACATCTCTAG